AGAGTTATCAGTCTCACTCTGTACTACAACAAACAAATATGGCTAAACCAAAACGTTTTTTTCAAAATGTCTTGTTGTGGTTTTCACACCTGATGATGATTGCTTGTGTTGCAGTCGAAACGCCGTGATCATTTTATTGTTTCATATTTTTATTATTTTAATGTTTCCCTTCTACGTGACTTTTCCGAAAGAACCAATAATATGAATCCCTGCAGTCACGAAAGCTTTAAATCAAAATTCAAAACGTTTAATTAACACGTCGCCACCGTGGGGCTCACGCATCCCTCAACAATGCAGGGAGTCCAAGTTTTTCAGAAGACCTACTCCAAGCGGAATGACATCCTGGTCGTCTCGGTGGTGGTGGTGGAGTTGTTATCGCGCTGTGATACGAACCCGAGTTTGAATCCCGGCCACGGCTAACATTAGTGGCGAGTGATGTCAGAGTCCTTCGCCAACGTTTCGCGCCGAGCCAGCGAGGCTTTTGCAGGATTAATGAAGGGCGCGCGTGCAGGTGTAACGTAGACAAGGCCACGACTAATTTACATTCTCTCTGTTGCGATATAAAAACACCTCACGCTTGGATAATAATCCACTTATCGCCGGCCCATCGGCTTACCGAGTTCTGTAACACAAACGCACGCTGTCGACCCTTAAACAGAACCCACGCATATGCATGCTTTGTCTTCCTTATTCATCGCAGCACCGCGGGGTGGGAGGGTGTTCTTCATCCAGCAGTGGATCGACCATGGCCGCTGACAATGTCGACGATGATGACGGTAACGATTCCCGCGAACAAGGGAAAACAAAAACAAATGGAAACGCGAGGAGGCGAAAATTCCCGCCACCCCCCACTCGCTCCGCCGTTTCTCGCGGGCAAATATCCACGGAAGGAGTTTTAATCCGCAGGGCGACGTGGCCACCACCCCCCACCCACCCACCCCAGGTTGCGATTCCACGCACGCGAGAAGCTTCCAAAATACGATTGCACACGCGGCGCGAGCGATAGCACGTGACGGGTTCATTAGAGTCTCAGCAACAAAAAAGAAACCCCCCCCCTCCCACCCCCACCTCTTATCGCCCGGACGCTTCTCGGATTCATTTTGTCCGCGCTTCAGCGACGGTGAAAAAAAAAAAGTGGGGGGGAGGGGTGGGGTGGGGGGAAAGAACCGTGGCACGGTTTTATATTATTAGCCACCTCCGTGTCCAGGTACAGTGAGATAAGCGGTCTTGTCTGCGTGTGTGCTGCTGTGTGCGCGCGCGAGTCTACGGTGGCGCGGGGAGCGGTGGCGCAGCGGTTAGCGCTATACGAACCCGGGCGCCCCGGGTTCGATTTCCGCTCACGGCAAACACCGGTGACGATTATCTGAACGGGTTCCTGTGTCTCCCCTAGGTGGACTCAGCCTCAAATGAGGACCTGGTGCGGTCTGTAAACATTACCACTAGGGGAGACAAAGGCGGCCGGGTGTGGTGGGGAATGCCCTACCTCATTCCGTGACCTTTCCCGTGAATTGTTGGTGAGTTGGGTTTTTTTCCACGCACCTCAACTGTGAAATTTACTCCCAAAAAAAAGTACCGAGACACAAATCGTAGCCTTAACCGTAAGTACGACACGTTGGTTGACGGAACGGGTGGAACGTCAAGCAAACAACGTTTTGAAACGATGTTTGCTTGACGTAACATCGACTGATAAACGCAGGAATCCCACGTTTATAGCTGCATAGCTCACCGGGACTCCTCTGGCAGTAATAAACTCAACTCGCCTCTGTAAATTGTGAAGCTCACAGCTGAAAAATGCTCGGCTAGCATCGAGTCTCACCTCCTCCTTCAAATGATTGGGGAGGGGGGTCTGCCAGCCGTGATCATTAGAAGTTAATCTATTCTCAGAGCGTTTTTCATTTATTTAACTCTTGCCCAAGGGTTGCTCGTTCACTCAGAGACAAAGGCGCGGTCCTGCAATCACTTGCTCACGTGACTGCTGGCGTAAGGTGCTTGAGTGCTACAGAGGGAATTTGGCCTACTCTTCCAAACGTGCCAGCATGTCTTTGAATGTGTTGGGAGTGCGCGCACTTTACCCCTCGGTGGTCCCAGCGCTTACCGATTCACGCCAGGAGTTGGCTCACTGACGTCCGTTCGCCCACCGCCTTCTCATTCTTCTATCGCTGCCACCATGGTTGCTATTCCCGTCAACGTTACAGATTCCTCCACCCACGTCGAGGACTCGGTCTATCTATCAGAATGTTTGCTTCGTTTAAACCGTATACTCTGTTCATTTACCACATCCCTGGGTTTGATCTTCCACGGAGATCAAAGTGGGCACCTTAAACTGCGTCCGCACAAACCATGGCAGTAGATGCCTGATGCACAAATGGAAGATTAAAAACTCTCCAGTGTGCGACTGTGATCATCCAGAACAGACCGCAGTTGTTGTTCTGCATCTACATCAGCCAAACGAATGAAGATTTACCACACTGCAGATCACAACTGCTCACTAACTCACCCACTCACACGCCCACTTACTCAGCCACTCACTCAGCCACCCACCCACTCGCCACACCACAGGTCTCAACACTATTCGTTATACTCTTTGGTTCTTTCGGTAAAGTCACGTATGAATAAAATAATCTATTCTTTATGCTTCTTCTCTCGCACTGCTCGACTGTAGAATCCCATCCCATCGTCTCTCTCCTCCCTGCCTCCCCCCCACCTTGCGCAAATCCAGAAAGCTACTACAATGACTCTTACCTACTACACCTTCGACAGTGCTGATGGTTGCTGGCTGCTTGGCATTGTTGGGCCTGTGGCTCAGAAACCTTGATTTAAAAAAGGACTGCAGTACTCTTACTGACTGCCATGTGACTAATCCTGGCACACACACGGCCCGAGAGATAAGCTGCCAACCGGGCATTATACGCATTCGACATGAATTACGCATTACTTTAAAAATATTATGCGGAAAAATAGGCGTATCAATATAGGTGCACAGCTTGAGTTGGCCACGACAGTAAGTTCAAAGTAACACTGCAGCTAAAATATGGAGCTCGGAGCTATTAATGCGTACTCACGTTAAGTTGGCATTAAAGAGTCGCACAATGTTTATCGAAATTATTCAGGAATTTTCAGAATTTGTGTGGGATGTTTTTTCTTATCCTCTGGAAATACTTTTTTTTTACTCATATCGTGTTAAAACTGGAGGGTGAATTACTAAAAATGCCCCAAAAGTTAATCCGGATCACTGCATTACATTTAACACGCACACGGCCGGCCGATGTCCATTATCGTGATGTTCCAGAAGGAGGCCCAAATGAAATCTTGGTAGGAGAGTTCTCTATAACTTCATCCCTTCCTCCTGCAGTGGCGAATAGCACGCGGTTGCAGGGTCGCACCTTTGCTCTGCTTGTACAGACAAAAACGATGCTGAATAAAAATGAGGAACGATGCGAGTGAAAAAAAAATCGCCGGTAACGTTCCAGAGTTATCGCATCAGTGATGTTTCTTTGCTTGTGGCATGCAGGTTTCATGAAGGCCCCGTACGGTTTTGGTTAATTGTGACACTGTACGTATTTATGTTTATATCTATATAAATAATTATCCACGCCCACTGATTTGTTATTTTAAATTTTTTTATGTATAAAAAGTAGTCGCCCATTTTGAATTGAACAAAAATTGGGTGCGTATAATTATAATTACACATCGTCGATAAAATTAGAACCCACTTGTTGTGCTCCTTCCATTGTCACCGCCGTAGCTCTGAGTCATCGTTCAGCCGGCACGGCATGGCACGGAACGGCATGACACGGCATGGCACGGAACGACACGACACGGCGTGGCACGGCATGGCACGGAACGGCACGACATGGCGTGGTACGGCATGGCACGCGTGGCACGGCGTGACACGGAATGGCACGGCATGGCATGGCACGGCATGGCACGGCATAGTACGGCACGGCATGGCATGGCACGGTATGGCACGGCGTGGCACGGCATGGCACGACACGGCATGGCACGTATCTCGTCGTTTTCTTCTTTACTTTACCGGGGGAGGGGAGGGGAGGGCGACATGCGGAGGATCTGCGCGCTTCAAGTAAAGCGGCTCCTACAAGGTTTTTGTTTTGTAAATTGAGAGTACTTTGTTTCTGCAGCAAAAATGTCCGCAAAAATATTAAAATATGATTGTGTGCATCCGTTTTGAATTTTTGAATGTATTTATTGACGAACTGATATATTTATTTATATATACGCAGTATATCACAACATCCACACTTCAGATGTATGCAAGATAAGTACGAATACTTAAATATTTTCGCGGTAGCAAAATCCAATGGAATGCGTCAGATCTGATTTCGTCACGTCTCATTAGCCAAAACGTCAGGTCACAACTATACACTGTTTCCCTTTTAAGACCACACACAGCGTTGTTATTTAAGAATGAGCTAAATTGTTAATTCTGCTTTGTGCTCCGCTGCCAACGCAGCAGCAGCATCACCAAATCATCGGATTTGTATTGAGCAAAGTCCCGAATAGCAGCAACACGTCGTATTAAAATCGATTTTAAAAAAAACTGGGTCATCTTTACGAGTTAACGTGACCCCCCCCCCTTTTTGCGCCCCTCCCCCGCCCGCCCCCCCTCTTTATAGGCAGATGGGCACAGCTAGAGCAGTAACGCTTCTGAAGCGGAGTTTGACACGGTTAAAATATATAAATAAATACAGGCGCATATGTGACTATCGTAACCGTAGGGGGAGTTTAATTCCTCGTGGAATATTTTCCGGGGTGGCCACAAACCAACCGTGACCCTATCTCCTCCTCCTCCTCCTCGACAGCTGGGGCGGAATATTTTCTGGTACTCAGCTTTAAACCACCGCGCCTGGGTTCGCGCGATCGTAGACATGACTGCGCTGCCCCCTGTAGTAAGAGATGGAGGCAGCGTCAGAATAAAAATAAGAAGGGAAATGAGAGCGAGAGAGAGAGAGAGTGGGAGGGGGGAGAGCGATCGGGGGAGAGCGAGATAGAGAGAGAGAGAGAGAAACACGGGCTCATTGTGATGTGCGAGAGAAGAACCCAGACGCCTCTACTGATGGAAGCTTCTTGCAGCGCTCTCTCTCTCTCTCACACACACAAATATACAGAGACACGCACACTCGAGTGAAGCTTAATGCATTGATCCACACTGATCAGCTGTAGAAGCAGTAGCAGCAGTTATCACTGTTTTCATCTGCAGCAGCCGCAGCAATATCAGCTGAAGCTGTGACAGCAGTGATATCATCCACGCCATCGGCAGCATCAGCAGCAGCATCATCAGCAGCAGCGGCAATACAAGAAGCAGGGGTATCAGCAGCAGCAGTAGCAGCAACCATCAGCAACACCATCATCATAATCAGCAGTTGAAACAATCATTATCAGCGTTATGTTCAGCAGCTAGAATAGCAGCAGCAGCAGCATCGGCGCTTGGTCGTGGGGTTGCTGTCAGTGACAGTTCACGGCAGATGCCTCTGTCTCGTGGAAGGTTCAGCAAAGAGGGACAACAGGAGGCGCAGGACCGCTCCTGCTGAAGGTAAGGTGATACGGTCACCACGAGCCTAAGCAGGCGAGAAGCCTGGTCAATCCCCGTGCACGTGGTGGGGAGCGGTGGCGCAGTGGTTAGCGCGCTGACCGTACGAAACCGGCGACGCGAGTTCGATTCCTGCTCACGGCCAACAGCGGTGATGATTCTATCTGAAACGGTACTGGGCCTCCCCCGGGTCGACTTAGCCTAAAACGAACACCTCAGTGCTATGTGCGTGAACATCGGCACTGGGAAGACAAAGGCACTACTGATCCACGCCAAATCGCCTGTCGTGCGCCGGGTCGGCTTTCATAGGTGCTACCCGCTAACAGCACTTGCCCCCCGACCGCCTTTGGAGGCTATACGGGGGATCTTTGTCTTTGCAGTGCAACATCGCTGCTCGTAATAAGGGGCGGTGTGTGTGGCTTATTTGCTGCCAAGCAGTTCACACCTTTGTTGCACTGGGTTGGTGTATTAATAGTACCCGCTGCATGGTAGCCAAGGGGATGAGTGGTGGAATTCAAATTATAATTATTTTCTGTTGCTCTGTGTATCCGCGTCTGTGTGTCTGCAATGTCGGGGAGCGCTGATAAGAACCCGGCCTCCCGAGTTCGACTCACGCTCACGGCCAACACCAGCGACGATTGTCTGAACCGGTCCTGGGCCTCCCCTAGGTCGACTCAGCCTCAAATGAGTACCTGGTGCAGATGTGTGAACATCTGCACTAGGGAGACAAAGGCGGCCAGCCACTCCTTCGTGTGCCGTGCCGGCATTCATAGAGGTACTCGCTAACAGTACTTGCCCCTACAGTTTGTTGAGGCTATACAAGCGGGATCTTTACCTTTGTCTGCAAGGTTGCACGTGAGATGCCCAATAGCCCGCAAGAATGGTTATCAGTGTAACCATGACAGCCAATGTGATTTTTATTCCACAGAGATGTGTATGTGTGTGTGGTCATGCGCGTATAAACTGCGAGGATGTCTCACTCCCACAGTTTTACATGCGCGTCTGTGTGTGTGTATACTCTGCAAGAATGGTGAGCGTTAATCATCGCAGCATTGCCATATGATTCGTTATTGTACAGAGGCGTGCATGGTTGCCGACGTGCAGCTGTGAAGCGAGACGCCACTTGGTGGTATTCACTTACACTATTCAATCTGTATAGGACTGCGTGCATGTAGAGAATGTGTGTATAGAATGTACATTAACGCATTGCACGCACACACACATACACAGGATACATACGTGTGTGTATGCATGCCTCAAATGAATATCTGGTGTAAACATTGCCACTGGGAAGACAAAGGCGGTCGGGCGTGGTGCTGGCCAACCACCTCCACCCCGCACATTTGTGCACCCTGCCGGCCTTCATAGGTGCTCGCGAACAGCACTTGCCCCAACAGTCTGTTAAAAGGCTGTATGGGGGATCTGTGTCTTTGCATGCACATGGAAGCGATGCATTGTAACCATTCTTGTGTATTCTTACACCCATATAATTTATACCGTAATATCATGCATTGCAATAATGTAGAGTATACATTTGTACGTTACAACTAAAACAACCTAAACATATTCGTCAATAACACTGTGCTTTTAAAATGTAAAAAAATGTATAATAGGTGACGTTTCGGGCAATGGCCCTCCTTTACAGCACATAGGCCAAAGGTAAGTCGTAATTAAATACCTAATTAAAATAATTGAATCATTATATTATAATTGTGCATGTGTATATGGTACGTTTGAGTTTACAATACACACAATGCAGTACTTTAAATATTACAAAGTAGTACATTACACGTGCTAGCTACATTCAAGGCTATTGCTCCATATGATCAGGGTCGCTAGTCCACTGCAGTCATTAGCACCTGGCCAGAAGCCGCAGCCAGAGCGAGAGGTATACTGAACGTGGTGTGCCGAGGTGCCAGTAGCCCGGGAGTAGTCAGTGAGTGACACTTGACTGGTTACCGACCCAGACAGACCCTGCTGAGACGCAGCCGCGGGCCGTCTCACATTCAGTGCGTGCTGCATAATCGAGCGCACGCTCGCGTCTCGCTTATTCCGTCGTGTTAATCAGTGGTGCGCATCCTATGCGCGGCGAGTGCAGTGGAAGTCAAATGCGCAGCCCTGCAATGACTTGCTCACGCCGGCGCTGGTGGAAGGGCCACCCACACACGAGTCGTCGTCGTTTGGCGGACTCATCCACGATGGCCAGACGTATTGTAAGGGGGTGGGAGTACCCACATTTTACCCCCACCGCACCGATCGGCTGTGCTTTGTCCATCTATGCTGTTGGGTGGACAACAAGCTGCGAGTGCCCCGAGCGTTATGGAGCTAAACCATCACCGCACTGAGTAATGCGAATCTAAAAATATCCGTTGTGGGTAAACACTGCAAGCGGAACTCAAACGCGCAGCTGTTGCTGCACCTGATGAATTCAGCAACCTCCTAACCCACTCTGCACACGACACATAGACAAACACCCCCCCTCCCCCCATGGCATTTAAAAGGCTGTTGGGCAAATGCTGTCTCCCAAGTCCCGACGTTTTATATATCTCACCACACCCAACTACCCATTTGAGGCCGAGTCGACCTAGGGGACGGCCAAAGATCGGTCCAAACCGATCTTGGGTCCTGGTTTGTGTGCGGAAATCGAGCTCGGTTCGCCGGGTTGAGTATGATGACCACGGCACCTCCTGTAACACACAAAGACAAAGATCCCCCTATAGCCTAAACAGACTTTTGGAGCAAGTGCTGTTAGCTAGCGAGCACCTATGAAGGCCGGCACGGCACAAAAGGGGGTGGGTGGCCAGCACCACGGCCAGCCGCCTTTATCTCCCCCGTTCCGATGTTTACAAAGCGCACCAGGTACTAATTTGAGGCCGAGTCGACCTAGGGCAGGCCCAGGACCAGTTCATATAATCGTCACTGGTGTTGGTGGCTTTGAGTGGGAAATAAATTCGGGTCTCTGCCGAGTTCGTAGCGCAGCGCGCTAACCGCTACACTACCGCTCCCCACCCTGTAATGAAGGCAAAGATCCCCCGTATAGGCTGTAACAGACTGCAGTGGGCAAGTGCTGCTAGCAAGCACCTTTGAAGGTCGGAACGGTACACGAGGGCGTGGGTAGCCAGCACCACGCTCGACCGCCTTTGTCTCCCCAGTGGCGATGTTTACACACCGCAGCAGGTACTCATTTGAGGCTGAGCCGACCTAGGGGAGGCCCAGGACTGGTTCAGATAATCGTCACTGGTGTTGGCCGTGAGCGGGAATCGAACCCGGGTCGCCACGTTCATAGCGCAGCGTAGCGCTAACCGCTCCACCACCGCACGCACACACACGCACAGACACACACATAGACACACACACACAGACACACACACACACAACACACGCACAGACGCACGCACAGACACACGCACAGACACACACACAACACACTGACAAGACAGCCTTTCTGGCCGAGAGCGCTGCATGTCAATAGCGAGCGTCTCGCAGCCAATGCTAAGGACACTCGAGGGAGAGAGAGAGCGGAGCCCGTGCACGTGGTCACCGCAGTACAATCAATTTTTACTATTGCGCAGCACGCGTACAGTACTATGGTTATTATTATTATTCAAAAGTCCCATGAATCCCTCGTGGGTTCGGCGTCTTAGATTTTATTTCTCCACGAGCTTCATTTCGATGCCTCTTCCCTCGTCACATCCACGACGATCCTCGTACCTCGTTCCCATCCCCCCTCGGTCACCCTCCACTCCTTTGTGCGTTGCACGAGTGGCGCCTCCACAGCCCTTCTAATCTACGAATCTCTGCGTGGGTCCATGGGTCTCTGCGTGAGTCGATGGCTCTCTTGAGTCTATGGGACTCTGTGTGAGTCTATGGTTCTCTTGAGTCTATGGGACTCTGTGTGAGTCTATGGCTCTCTTGAGTCTATGGGACTCTGTGTGAGTCTATGGCTCTCTGCGTGAGTCCATGGGTCTCTGCGTGAGTCTATGGCTCTCTTGAGTCTATGGGACTCTGTGTGAGTCTATGGCTCTCTGCCTGAGTCCATGGGTCTCTGCGTGAGTCTATGGCTATCTTGAGTCTATGGGACTCTGTGTGAGTCTATGGCTCTCTGCGTGAGTCCATGGGTCTCTGCGTGAGTCTACGTGTCACTGCGTGAGTCTATGCATCTCTGCGTGAGTCTACGGCTCTCTTGAATATATGGGACTCTGTGTAAAGTCTATGGCTCTCTGCGTGAGTCCATGGGTCGCTGCGTGAGTCTATGGTCTTTTGTCGAGTCTACGGATCTCTATGCGAGTCTATGAGTCTCTGTATTTGTCTACGGGTCTCTAATCTCCAGAGCCTGCGAGCACTGCATCTTCTTGTTCTCTCGTCAACACGTGCCCGGACCATCCGAGCCTCGCCTCCGCGAACTTGAGAAGATGATCAATCCCCGCTGAAGACTCGATCTTCTTCATTCATGCTCCCTCTCCTTAGAGACATTCCCAACATCCATTTTATCAGTGTGTACTGCGTATTAGTTTAATCGAATACATACAAAAACAGTAATGACTTGGGGGGGGGGGGGGTGGATGGTGAAGCGGTGGTGCAGTGGTTAGCGTGCTGCAATATGAACCCGGCGGTGAACCCCAGCACGATGCACGGCCGCAGCTACCAGGAGTGAAATCCGAGCCGATCCGCGAGGCTCCTCTCCTCCCGCTGACCGCCACACAACGAGCCCCGACGAGCCACACACAGCGTGCGCAGGAGACCCTCGATCCAGCCGTAGACTGACAACAAAGCTGTACATAATAACAACAATAATAATGATGATAATGATGATGATTAATTAACTACCTCTTGCTGTTACCGTCGGCCTTTAACTTCCAACTGCCGGAAGGGGACATAACGCCTCTACCCCCAGTGCAAATCGCTTCCATTCCCTCCTCGGGCGAGGCGCACCTATCCAGCCGTGACCTCCGTGGCGTCGTCTCTGTCTCTGTGTCTCTGTCTCTCTATCTCTGTCTCTCTATCTCTCTGTCTCTCTCCACCGTCTCTCCGCTCCCCCTCTCTCAGTCTCCACTCCAAGGGAGTTAATTCCGTCTCTCGCCGTTCGGAAGGTTCACGTGACGCCTCCTGGCCCTCAACATCACCTTTATTTGTTTCGCCGTTTTTATTTTTCTCCAATTAATAACCATCGTTAATGTTCTCAAGGGCACTTCGGAAATGTTTCTCTAATGGCAATCTGAAAGGCGGCTAATTTGGCTGACGGTGGCCGTTCGACTCAATAATTATCCAAGATGTAAGAAAACCTTCTTTCATCATCATCATGCTTCCACATATCCCTAGGCTGTGGGTGCAGTGCACGCTGCGTTATCAATCATGCATATCTAACACGTGACGCACAGCCCTGGTGTTAATCTACTGCTGGATGGAGGCCCCTTTCACGCCCCGTGCTATTCGAGTGATCATGTTTCACCACACTGGTCATGGCGAGTTGGTGAAGGCAAGGAATATAAACGCGGGTGCAGAGAAGTACAGTACAACATAAAAATGGATTTGACCACAACTGAGTATCTGCTGCCCACCGCATAGCAAGAGACGATGGAAACCCTGTTTCTGCACGGTGGTCGGCCATCCAAGCACTACCCACACTTTAGCTTCGCAATTGCACGAGATGTGATGAGATCTACATCACGGGACCAAATATGATAAGAGGGTTTTTCCCCTTTTTTTCTGGCAACAAAGAAAGCTGTCTCTGGTGTGGACCAATCAGTTTCAAGGACAATGCCACATATATTATCAGAGTATGTTTTTGTTTGCATGCTGACCACAAGCATTGTGGTTAATGCAGACATGATTCCTTGTTAAAGGTTTCAGTTTGGTGTTTTAACATCTTAACACCTGTTTTGTTGCCAGAAAAAAAGGGGGAAACCCTATTATCATGTGATGAGATCGCACGCATTCTGAGCGATTTGGTCCACACAGACACACGGTAAGGTATATACTGGACTGCATAAGTGCTGCTAGATTGAAATAATAATGCAATAATGTACAGGCTTGTGTCTTCACTCCAACGCTGTCCTCTGGACAGTCCGGTCCCTTCACCTGATGAAGGCCACTTGTGTTGTGGCCGAAACGTTGTGATTTATTGTTGTTTTTTTTACGTGACTTTACCGAATAGAACCAAAGAGTATGTTGTGTAAGTGTGTTGCAGGGTGAAGGTCTCCCCACGTCATGTCCATTTATCTGACCATACTTCTCCACGCTGGTTAGTGCGGGTTGATCCTTTTTTGAAAGTGAAAAGCATCGCTCTGCTCAGAATGCAGTCCCACGCGTGTCATGCCACACCTTGATTTATAATCTCGGTGAAAATGGTTTTGAATCAACATGTTTCGTGTTCGGTGAAGCAGAATTTTGAGGCCGTACACAGGCGTGAAACGCATCGATGGTGGCTTGCAAAAAAATATAAAAGTGGGATTGGGCAGGACGCTTCGTGGCTCGAAAGAATGACGGCCGATGGTGAAACATGACGACGGGCGGGCAGCCAAGGTTGGGCGAAGGCGCCAGGGCAGGACGTCCACCGCAGGGATGGAGCTATCGTGAAAACAGCCTCGCGTGTACGCACTAAGGTGGACCGTAACTCTTTGCGGCAAGACCGCGAGAGATAACGGCAACTTCGGGGGGGGGGGCGGAGATCGGGGTCAACTCAGCAATAGATCGAACATGAATGACTGACGATAATTCCTGCACGATGAACGAATGCCAAATAAAATCGACTCTGCCGTGTGACCTACCCCCCCCCCCCCATTCTCGGCTCAGCCTCGGCATCGCACAAAAAGGACTTCGCAATGGGGTCACTCGTAAAAGCAAAACACATTCGTGCGCCGTCTGTTCGTGGCATCTACTGGGGCCCACGCGTTAACAGAACCCCTATTCGCCCAAACCCTCGCCGGAATCGCCTGTTGCAGTGCACGCAACACGCTCGTGGGCTCTCCTGCCACGAGGGCGATCAGAATTTAGTTTTGCCTCCTCCTCCTCCTCCTCGGCGACGGCGGCATCATCACCATTATAATTTATCCGCCATTAAGAGTGAGTGAGTCACCGTCGGATAACGGAGCCGGCCGTCGGAGGTCGGGTTCAGAGCGATTGTAAAACAACGTGAGCCCTACCGCTCGATGTGCCCTACAGAGTCATTACCGTACTCTATGCGCATGGCGTTCAGAGTCTTCAAAAGATATAAACGACGAGTTACTTTACCATTGTAACTCTCTCCAGCCACGTACAAGTGCTGCGTTGAGAATGTAAGTATAAACGTATGCTCTAATAAATATAATAAACATGAATATTACATATGACCGGAGCACCATGAACGCACCCGATCTCAGCAGATCGGTGTGAAGGCTCAGCTGTTGTGCTGAGCCTGGTTTGTGTTTTGAATGGGAGACTGCCTGGTTAGTACCAGGTTGTGTAAGATCGAGGATGCGATGTGTGACCAGGAGTTGGTGGTACAGAAAATGTATTCTTGAATCGATGAGTGTGGGGGGCTTTTGAGTTCGACGTACTTTCGTTACCTCCTTGTATGCATTGGGTTTTCTCCGGTTTCCCCAGTTTCCTTCCACAGGAAGCCAACCACTTTATATCATTGATTTAATTCACAATAAAGTGTTTCGTTTTTAAAATCAAATACTTTCTGTAACATTTCACACTCTTCAAAGGAATAGGCCAACATCCCAATATGCCGGGACCCTCCGGTCTCGAGACTCCTTGAGGCTTTTGTGAACAAATAAAATACTAATATTATTAAATCTACTGGACATCTGCGAAAAAAAGTTGCATAGCTCATCGGATTCCTCCAGTCTTACTAAATATGACAATTATAAATCTGCATAAAGATGCTCGGTCGTGCCTTACCAGCTCTCCGGTGCGTTTTCTGATCGTTACCGCGTGTTGCTCGGCACGACGTCCGACGTTTCGCTCCACGCGCCCGGAGCCGCATTCCATTTCTGACGAAGCTCGGCTTCGCTCCCGTTTGCTCGGAGCCGCTCAGGGAACCTACTCGGGGAACTGAAACCCAACATAGCTCCCAGCACGCTGACATAACGGAAAACGTGGCCGCGAACCCCTTAAAAATCACTCGCGAATTCAAATGAACTTTGACCGCTGAGCTGCGTTAAATGTGTCCCCCGCGCGCTGCCTCGCATTGCGACGCCGCCTTCTGTGTTTGCCCGCAGCTCGCCAGCGGCCGCACCGCTCCAGGCAGGGGGGGAGGGGGGCCCTTTGATCCGGCGTCGCCCGTGGACCATGCGGCCGGGGGCCCGGCAGCACCTCCGGCCCAGCGACCGCCCGAGCGCGTGGCGCGGTGGCACGAGGGCCCGGGAGCCGCACGCGGCGGGCGCGTGAACGATGAGCGGCGATGGCGAGGCGCTCTTCCTGCGCGAGAACTCCCTGGCGTGGCTCGTCTGCTCGCTGGCGGCCCTCGTCGCCAACGTCTGGGGCATCCTCAGCGTGTCGGCCAAGCAGCAGAAATGGAAGGCGCTCGAGTTCCTCCTGTGCACCCTGGCCGGCACGCACGCCCTCACCGCCACCATCCCCCTGCTCATGTACGCCGTGGTGAACATGCGACGCAGCTCATCGGACTACGAGTGGACCGAGGGCCTCTGCAAGGTGTTCGTGTCCAGCTTCTACACCCTGGCGCTCGCCACCTGCTTCACCGTGTCGTCGCTCGCCTACCACCGCATGTGGATGGTGCGCTGGCCCGTCAACTACCGGCTGAGCAACACGCGCAAGCAGGCGGTGCAGGCCATCATGGGCATCTGGACCGTGTCCTTCATCCTGTCCACGCTGCCCGCCGTCGGCTGGCACGACACGACCGAGCGCTACTACGCGCGCGAGTGCCACTTCCTCATCACCAAGATCGGCCTCGGCTTCGGCGCCTGCTTCCTCACGCTGCAGGGCGGCAGCCTAGCCATGGGCATCGCGTGCACGGGCATCACCCTCTACCAGACCGCGTGCCGCGTACACCAGGCCCGCCGCGCGCCCGAGAAGGTCACCATCACGGTGCCCACCATCGTGGTGGAGGACACCACGGGCAAGCGCAAGTCGTCCATCGACGGCTCCGAGCCGGTGCAGACGTCCCTCAAGACCACCTACCTGATTAGTGTCATCGTGTTCTTCTACGACTGTCTCACCGGCATCCCCACGCTGGTGAGTTTGGGCGGTAAGGGTGGTGGTTGGTGGTTAGTGGTGGTGGCGATGGGGGCAGAGGAGGTGGTAAGGTTACCACCCGTCCTAAATTATCCCCAGAATCGCCATCCCTCTTGTTGAATAGGCACCTGCGTGTATGTGTCTGTATATGTGGTCAATACATGCCTTGCAAAAGGTATTTATTTGGTGTTTGAACATCTTAATACCTCCTGTTTTATTGCCAGAAAGGGTAAAACCTCTTCTTATTTTTAATCATTTTTGATACAGATATCTCTACATCTAGAGCAGCTCAAGCCTCCTCAATCTGTGTGCACCCCACCACTCTGAATCCCTCCCCGCTCATCGATATATCGTTCCATCTCCACATCTCAATCAACTCGAGCCTCCTGTAAATCACGTGGCTTCCGTGTGGACGTGAAGACAGGCGACTTGTAAAGACGGTCATATGCATAGCCTCTGGCACAGCATGATACGTTATCACCAAAATCAATAGCCATTTGTCATTGAGACGGCCTGCACGAGTTACTGATGAGTACACGCGACCCTTCGATTGCGTGGACAGGAGGTGGTGCATTATGTAAACAGTTTCATTATTAATTTAAAATTTCCCAACTTGCCACTCGCAGTATTCGCTGTGAATATTTTTTTATATCGTAGATCGCAACAATTTACACTCGAGGTTAAAACATATTTAACATAACTTAAGATATTTCATGCGACCTACCGCAGGCGTTTTTGCTCTCGGTCGGGCTGAGTCTCAGAACGAGACGGCATTCTTTTGCTCGGTTATTTCTCACGCAAAAAAAAAATAACGCAGTCAGCACTGGGTCGTTACGACGATACAGATTGATCTATTTGAATGTTTTACCCAAAATGTTTCAGGGTGGCCGCCACGGTGAACGGTCAGCACACTGGACGTGTAAACGAGAGGTCGTCAGGTCCGATTCGATCTGCCGGCACGGCAGTTGAAACAATGACGCAAGTTTCTTATATCGCCCCCCCCACCAACCACGTCAGCGGTATTCACGTGCAACACCACAGTGTCGTCGATGGGCAGGCCGCGGCACGGTGGGGTGAAGTGTTGGTGCTTCCACACACGTGGCCCGCGTGGAAGTCGGCCAAGAATAGCGACCGAGTGGAGCTCTCTCTCAACCTCCCTCGAATTGAGGCCCTACTGCCAGCAGCGGCATGAGCAAGCAGTTGCACTGCTGCCCCTTTGCCTTCCTACCAATTACCCAAAATTCTTCTCTGCAGGCTTTGCGAGTCTTTTTTTTAACGGAATAATCAAGGCTATGCCTGCGGGCGTATAAAATAGGGATTTGCATTTATTTGGCGCTTAAATGCCACTGCAGCTCAAACCGTCTTACATCCACAGAAACCCAATGTGCATCCATTCACTGGGGACTCCAACAGAGTTCAACATCAAAAGTCTGTTCGTTGCATTCATCCTGCATAAAATCTCACGCAGGAATCGTAGAATCCACTGTGTAGGGTTTTGCGCGGTCGTGATGCTGTACGGCTGCCCCATGTGTTTTTTTGGGTTGCCTGGCCTGTCGTCCGGCACCATGTCCGACGTTTCGCTCCCAGTGTCGACAGCATCTTTAGGAATTACACCGAAAAATCCATCCGGACAACAATGCCGTTTCCTGACGAAGTTCCCGACCCATTGAGAGAAACGTCGGACGTCGTGGCAAACAACATGCGGCAAAACCTGAAAACGCATCGGAGAGATAATTGTAAAATCGCGTTCAGGAGAGCACGCATTTATTTCTTTATTTATTTTATTCTCAGATGCAGATCACTGGTTTGACATTACCCCCTGCGTGGGCCTAAAGTGCCTGGCACATGCACTGAATTAAGATGACTCTCTGTTTTGCCGAGGCTACGCGTGTATTTATGCAGCCTATTCTGTTATGTAGGGAGCTGCGGTGAAGGAGTTAGCGTGCCGCGCGACAAACATGAGAACCCGGATTCGATTCCCGCTGACGGCCAACATCAGTGGAGAATGTCTGAACCGGTCCTGAGCCTCCCCTCGGTCGATCACTATCACGACGCGCTTCAGGCCTTTAACTAGAAACTCGCCTCGGCGTGTAAAGTATCAGCACTGGGGATAGAAAGGCGGCCAGGCGTGGCGCTGGTCACAACACCGTCCGCCTCGTGCGCCGTGCCGGCTATCGACAGTGCTCGCTAAGAGCACTTGCCCCAACTGCTTGTGAAGGCTACACGGCGGGGGGAGGGGGGGGCGATCTCTGTCTTTGTTTCTTTTTTCATTTGGCAAGCACCACGACACGTGAACTCCCCCGCAAGACTCCAATGCCGAGCACAAAAGGAATTAAACTCGGCACGATATAATCGGCGCGCCGCTGGAAGGCGCTTTCCACACAATGGCTTTTAATGGGCTCCGAAATTAAAATGACGAAGCGGCGCACATTTGGCTGTGCGCAAGTCGTAATGAAGTTCGTGGGCTGTTGCCTTCTGCTGCAAATGCATTAGGGGATGGCTTCCACCAACCCAATCAAGCCATCGGCATGTCGCGCGCGGCGGGGTAAAGTGTGCGCGTACCAAACTCTTCCAAGATATCCGGCCGGCATGGTTGAGCATCCCAAAACACCCTCGTCCGTGACAGCGGCTGAACAGAGCTTACTCGAGCTTAGAGGCCCTTCGACCAGCAGTGGCGTGAGCAAGGAATTGCAGGGTCGCACCTTCACCTCACCATGTAGCCCATCACCTCCACCAACCACGTTGCTCCGAGGACGTCGCGCTATTCCACGCACCGCGAGGGGTTTGCACGCCGCAGCGCCCGGCGGGTCGCGGCGAGGTCCGGGGCGTCGCGTACCGCGTGGAGCCTCCCCGGCGCGGCGCGAGCGACGAACCCCGGGGCAAGCTCCATGAGTCGCGTGCGGACGTCCGCCCGGCGAAACGGCCAAGTTGACGTGACGCGGATACCGTGCATGCCGTGGATGCCGGCGTGAGGGGGGTGCTACGAGTCGCTTCGTCCGGTGCGCCGCGCGGGGCAAAAGCTCCGTTAAAAAAATAACACACTGCGCGCGATGCAATTATAGCAAAAAAAAAGTTACACGTTAAGGGTTCAGCCCTGCCGTCTCTTGCTTCAGGCCACTGCTGTCGGAAGGGCCTCTACGAGATGGTGCGGTGGAGAGCCCCCCCCCCCACTAAGAGAGACTCACAAAGTGCAACACGGATAACCGCAGTTAGATCCTGCGTAGCTCTCCGACGTGCATTTCGTGATTGCACAGCGTGTTGTTCGGCATCGTGTCCGACGTTTCGCTCCAACTGCTGGGAACTTCTCTTAAAATAATAATTCCAGTGCAGTTGGATTTTAATTCAGGAACGGAACTTTAAAGCGGGTCATGAAGTGCCAGACCGCGCTCAATAAAATCTGAAAACGCTTCGGAGAGCCTTCCGGCACGACCGCAATAAGCCTACGCAGTGGAAACTCTCTCAATTAGCTAAATACATTTATTTGATTCCATTTTTTAAACGCACAAGATGAATATTCACGGCATTGCCCATGCGCGAACAGCTCTCCGTTTTGCCGCTCCTCGTGAACGATGCCGCGAGACGTAATTCCGCGGGGCCTTAACCACATCTGGCCGCGATCCGGCAAGCCTTGAAACGGAACGTTTTAACGATTCCGTGATGTACTCCGTGACCGGGGTCATGTGGCACACACGCGACGGGGCTGACTTTGTAAACGAGACAAATTCCGCCACTGGAACGGCGTTTCGAGCTGTGCGGCACGGAGGGCTGATCACAATTCACGGCGCTCCACGCGTACACCGCATTTAGCGGGCGTGAAAGAAGCGGAAAGTTGCCTCCGTGACAACAGATCCGTTACGCCGCAGATAATCGGGACTTTCCGGAGTTGACTTTCACCCGGCGGACTGAGTCACCCAAGCCATTAAGTCTCAGCTCGTTTCTTCCGAGACCTGTGCAGGTGTCACGGATTCTAAAGGGCATTAGTGCTGCTCGCTGATATTTGCCCCCCCCCCCCCCACGCCTTCAACTACGAAAGGTGGTTTTATGCTCCAGTAAATGCCCTCTTGCTCCAACACGTTTCTTTAAGGTTAGGCATGCGCTCTCGTGCCATACATTCCCATGTATACATACACACACCGATGAGCACTTGTGCCATTATCAAGCATGTGCCTTTGCCTGCCAAGGGCAGACATTGCTCTCACACACAGAGTAATAGCTTCGTGACCAAGCACATGCCCTTATAACCGTATTGAGTGGCTAGTCTCAAACTGCATGCGATGGCCCAACCCAATTGTGGGCCCCTGCTTTCACCAACCGACATTGACCAGTGTGGTAAAGTATGGTTGGAAAAAAAAAACATGATTACACGGCATGGAGAGGCCTTTATCCAGCAGTGGATTTGCAAAGGGGTGTAAAATAATATTATTATCGTGACCAAATCACCCAGAATCTCGAGCTGATTTTAAGCCCGGACAGTGGCTTCGATGGGTGATCCACAGCGCATTGAATATGTGCCAACACGCTGTGGGGCCACGTGGGGTGGCACAGCAGAGGACAGTGCAGCAGAGATGCACCGTTGTACCGCACTTTAACGCTCCCCGTGATATCTTGTATTACCGTCCTTCGTTAAAACACGAGTATAAAAATTGTGCTTACGCTGCAGGTTAGGGCATACGGCTTCCACAAACGCGTCGTAAAACGGGAGCATTCGTCAAGAGTCATTGAGTTGAACTGCACTGCTATGATGCAAGGATGAGTGTGCAAGGCCAGTAGTGCAGACAGGAAGGGCAGGAATGCCTGTGAGCGACTGTTAGCAATACTAACAGTCATAAGCCTTGTCAGACTCATAAAATAATGAAAAACAAACAAGTCGTGAAAAATCGCGCTTATGCATGGCGTGCTTATGCAGCACTTTCCAACCCGCGGTTTGTCTTTAATTAGCGGTCGGGTAAACCGACGGGAAGCTGTCAGGGCATAAAATTAATTTGCATATTCTGCAACAG